GATTTTATTTTGTTAAAATTTGTGCTAATTTAAAATAGTCAACTTTGATGATATTATTTTAAAATTATACCGTAATAATTTTGAAAAACATTTTGTCCCCTTTATCTTTCTTCGTATGGTGCATAGTTAAGCAAAGGTTATTTTTGTTATTTTAATTTTAATTTTTAATTGTTGTTTTTTTACTTCATTTGTAAGTCAGCAAATATTTCTTTCCCTTTTGCCCCTTCTATTATTGTGCATATTTAAACACACTATTTTTTATAACATTTTTAGCAGTTGATTTTTAATTCGCGTTTAAATTCAATTTAGTTTCAATAGGGGGGGGCGCTTTTTTGGCGTTAAAATATTCTAGAGTGTAGAGCAGTGTGGTACGCGTACCCCCAGGGCACGGAGACAGTTTAACGGGGGTACGCGTTCTTATGCGAAATATCTTGCAACAAACGAAAATTTCAGATCTTTTCTTTTAAAAAACAAAGCTAGCCATGAAAATTTACGATCACTTATTTTTCTATTGGTTATTTTTCGCAGAGTTAACATTCAATTATTAGTGGTATCAACAGTTACAACACACAATTTTAACTTTTGTGCTATTTTTTTATCACAGCAAAAACAATATCATATTTAGAAAGGGTACACAAAAGTCATAAGTTAGGGAAACACTGGTGTAGATGATTCAAATAAAAAAGGAATAGAAAGAAAGAAAAGCCTTTCAAAATAGATTTATTAGTTATTAATAAAAACAATGCTAAAAATTGACTATTTTAATATGGCTACTACAGGCATTAAACGATGTCTACTAAAATGATTTTTTTGATGAACCGCAGTCAATCATCAATTTTTCAACCATGAAAATAAATAAAATAACACCATTTAGTAGAACCTGGATGACCGAACGTGACTGTATAATACTAATGAGTCACACTAACTTTCTTGACGGTGCATAAATGGTTTAATAAAAAAAACAGTAAAAAAAAGAAGAAGAAAAACTCTGGGATGAAAAAAGAAAAAGCAGTGAGTGAGATGGTTAAAAACCATCTTGCGTCAATTGTTGAGAGGGTAAAAATGGGTGAGAAATGAAAATAAAACATGGAAGGATGTCAATTACTCACATTCCTTCCACGTTTCCTAAGAATACAATTGGCTATCTTAATCTGGTCTTTGCGCAACACTTGGCCCTTACCTAATGAAAGGGATTCAGAAGGTAAAGAAGGCAGGAAAAAGAAAAAGTGAATGCACAATTTTCTAAACAAATAAGTGGCTGACATTGAAGGACATTTTGGCGTCTGTTCATTTTCTGTTGTGGATACAAACCAAACCACGGAAGATTTAAATCAATCCAGATGTTATTGATTTGACGTCAGCCTTCTTTTTTTTTATTTCCTTCACAGCACGTTAATGAAAACAAATTGGACGGATTGAAATAGAAGCATCATTCTCGAAGAATGAAAATGATAGATATAATTTGAAATAGCGATTTTTATTTCTTGAAAACAATGAACAAAAACAATATTCTTCGAATGATATTTCATTTATGCTAATGGGCTTCACTTTATCTATAATCTAGCATGAATATTCTTGATTATTTGTTTGTTGCTTGAAGCATTTACTTAAATCTGTTCTTTTTGTCTGCTTTTCAGTTCCTGAATATTGTTCGAGACCTAAAACTTGCCATTTCAGCTTATGAATATTGTCAAGGCCTAAAACGTTTCTTCACTTAGCTCTCTCTTATTGTTTTACTGAAATGTTGCCAAAGAAAGTTGTACTTGACAGAGTTAAAAAGAAAAAAAATTTAAATCTTTACACAAAAATAAATGAGAAAGTATATAAATACGCAATAATAAACATACAAAAAAATTTTTTAAAAAATAGAGGAAAATCTAAATGCGTTTTATAAAAGATATAAGTTAGGAAATAAAACTTTTTTTTTTTGATGAGGGAGAAATGAACAGTATAAATGTATATTAAAAAAAATCAATTTCATCATTCATCTTAAACAGTTGTTCCTGGATTACCCAGTTTCCGTGGTAACAATCTACTCCAAACATAGCATAGCGTTATGCACTATACATACTAATACGTAGAACAGTAAGCTTTTGTGACCTAATTCAAATTATGTGAATACGCATTGTTCTCTTTGTACTCTTAAAGAGATTATTCTATGAAATTATTAAGAAGACCCAAATTAACACTAAATTGCGTTTACAAAAAAGAGAAAAGAAAAAAACGCTTTTTGCCTCTTTCTTATTTTCTTTGCCTTTTTTAACTCAATAATCAGCCGTTTTCCGAACAAAAGTATATTTAATAATACTATTACTGTGCTGGAATACAACTGCTTCGTCGTATTTTTTATAATTGGGTGCCCCAAAACAATTTTTCACTTTAAGCCATGATTACAAAATCATTTATATTATGAATTGAGTGCTTCTTAGCTTCTAATAATAAGTTATATTTAGGATATTTTAGATAAAAGAATATTTATTCTGAAATTACGAAGAAAAAACATATTTTATATAAATTTAATTAATAATGCAAGTTTGTTCCGACTGTTATCAAGTAATAATATAATTGTTTACAATTTAGCTTATATAGTATTAGAACAATGAATTTTAAAAAAAATGATAATCACTGCATATTTTTTGAAATTTTATTCAATGAATTACAAGCTGCTTTTAACACTGTAAAAAATAATAAACAATTAAAGGCATTAATTTCTTTAAAAGTTTAAAATTTATAAAATATATATATATCAGCGTTTTTTAATAAAAAACATCATAATTTCTATTTTAAGAATATGTTGTTTCTTTCTGTGTGTTGTTATCTAGTAGACCATCTATAGGAAATAGCTGTAACTTGTTGAAATACCTTTCTTTAAACAATACTAAGTAACAATTTAGGGTAAAATGTCCCTTTTGCAAAGATTGTTGTTTGACACTTTTGTGATATTGTCCCAACCCCTTTAAGAGCATTTATTATAAGGTAAGAAAGCTAGTTAATGCTGAGCAGAAAAATTACGACTCTTTACCCTCTCTTGGGTGCTCCGTTGCACCATTGCTGTTTATGGACAAAATTATTTGATACCAGTTTTTAAAAAAATCGTACTTAAAGTAGTTAATGCACCAAGGACCTGATGCATATTGGTTTAAATTTTCAGGTTGCTCCCATAAGTTTGTTCGGAGAACCGCTTTTTGAACTGCATGGTGCCCTATGCTTCCCCATCTCTTTCACTCGACAGAAAGTACTAATAAATGCATTTATAAATAATTTTATTCTTGGAATTAAAGCCGTTTATTAAGATTTCATTCGTTTTTACAGTAAAAATGAATACCCACAAGTGAATAAAGTTTTGAATCATGCAAACAAAACAATGGAGATAAACAATAATTTAAAATAATTTATACAACCCCATTGGAAAAGGGTTAAGAAGAACGTTGCAAGTTTAGTAACCCCAATCCATTCAACGGACTGGAACGGTTTTATTCCCTGTACTTCCACAGTCCCTTTCTGCACGCGTGAAAGCTTACTGCGAGAAAAAAAAAGAAAACTCATAAAAAAATTAATGCCATTGAGTTAATAGAAAGGGGTTGTTTACAAAATAAAAAGTTGTATCTTTAGGCTAGTTTTTAATTTGCACTTTTCAAAACAATTAAAAATTCTTTATAAACTCTAGTGAGTATTTCATTATTTTTTACTAAATTGAGGAATTAATCTCTCATTTTACGATGCATAATGTCGAATAGAGCGTTTAATTAAGTTATACTTTCTATACATCTTATAAAAATCAGAGATTTTATTTATTCTAATTTATTTATATTACAGAAAATTAACTACTTTGCGTTATAAGCATATTTTGTGTGGGGCTAAATTGTTACGGAAAATGTTCCATCGATTTTTAAAATTCTGAATTAGATCCGTAATAAATTTCTAAATTCTAACAATGAGTTTTTACGTCTTCTATACGAGTGAATTGTTATTTAATATTTATAGTGATAGTTACGCCACAGTATAAAGTCTAAAAGTGTTAAAAACTCCTGATACAGCATGATAAACAAAAACTTTTTCAATTTTTTACCGATCCCTTAAAGTAATGGTTGTTTGTGTTACTAAGGCTAGATGATGGTCTGTGGGCACTGGAAAAAATCATTATAAGTTTTTTTGTTTTTTTTTTCTCCTTCTATTTGTGCTCAACTCTCTCTAATGAAATTTTGTAGAGAAATGTCCTTTCACTTGTAAAATTTAATTAAAATTAGTTTGTGAAAAATAATATCTTTTTTAAAGAAAAAAAAATTAAGTTTAACGAATTTTGAAAAAATAGACAACTATTTTAAACTCATCGAGGAAATATTAATAAGCGATATAAAATTTGCGCTGGTTTATTTTTGAGTTTTTATTTATTTATTTTAATTGCTTACTACGATATTCATTTCAAAAGTCAATTTAAATTGACTTAATTTACATTGAAAATCGAACAGTAATTAAAAAACAAGTAAATATTTTCCTTGTTAAATTCTAAGGTTTCAAAAACTTAGTTTTTTTTTTTTTTTTTTTTTTTGCAATTTTTATTACTATTTTCTAATGCTCAATGACATTAGAAAATTCGTAATTTAAGATAAAGAAATTCAAGCTAGTTTTCAGAAACATAAAATTTTATGCACGAATCTTAAAGTTAATTTTTATAAATATTAAATTTTACTGAAAAAAAGTTTTAACAAAAAATTTAAATTTTGTGTTTGAAATATTAACTATATATTAATTAAATACATAAGATAAATTTATTTGGAAATCATGATATATATATATTAAAAATGGAAAACTATTTAAAGCATGTAAATTAAAAAATATAGCATTAAAGAAATATCAAATTTAAATTCATTCAATTAATAACGATTAAAGGTTTTATTTATTGATTCCTAAATTGTTGATATTTTCACAAGGGCATAAGGTTAAATGAAATAATTATAATAGAAATTAATATTAAATTGTGAAATTAGATCAAAACTTACTTTATAAATGATCAGGGTTGTTCTTGATATTTTAATTTAAAGAAAGAATCAAATTATTTCAATTATAATATTTTTGATGCCAGCGTTTTTTTCCCCAATATACCTATCAAGAGCCCTCTCAGCTGAGCGACACAGAATCCAAACCAAAACTCCAAGCTTTCTGTTTCTGTTTACATCGGGAAAATGACGTCAGAACTGTCAAACTTGGCGATCTCCCATTGGCTGGTTAAGCTTCCAAAAAAATTTGATTTCGAAATATTGAAAAAAAATTTATGTGCCATAAAATAACTAAACAACACTGAAATAATATGTTTCTTCCATTAAAATTTAAAAGTAAATATTCTGTACAGTCAAACATTGACATTTTATATTCTTGATTTTTACCTCTTGAACTTCTTCCTCATTGTCTATTCAAAGCGTTTTAACATTACTTAAAGATATTTAAACTATTTATTATTCTAAAATGTAATTGTTGAGACAAATCAGAAGTTTAAATATTAAAAACGTTCGCTTAATTCTTATATCTCATTATTTCAAATTTCAACTGTAATCGTAATCGTAAGATTGTAAACATGATGCGAGTGCGAAACTAAATTATGGCTGATATTGTTTATGAAAAATCAGCTGGTGAAATGTTTGACGATGCAACACAAAATTTGACGAAAAGTAAAAATGATGATGAGCCTGTTGATGATGCAGAAGACATTAAAGAGAGTACACTTGATAAAGTAGCCGTTAAATTGTTAAAACATAAGTTTGTTCTTACCGCACTTGAATTTCACACAGAATTAGTAGAAAGTGGTAGGGAGTTACCAAGATTAAGAGACTATTTTTCCAATCCAGGCAATTTCGAGAAGCATATACACGAAACAGAAATTTCTCCTGTTCTTCGTACGTTTTTTTAAGAGTTTATTTTTTTACTTATTAGTTTGTTCGATAAATATTTACATTGGGTTGTGGATTTTAGAACGTAGTTATTGAAACGTTAGATCTTTGAATTGTTATACATTAAATGGCTAATAAATTTTTCAATGCTAAGCAGTTGGATAATTTGTTCGGAATATTTTTGTATCGGCACTTGTCAGTAATAATTGCAATTGCCAAGGCGTCTAAGGGATTTTAAACTTCCAAGGAAGATTTCCCTATCATGATCTGCGGCAGAATAATCCTCAAGTCTTAGAAACTTCTGGGCAGCGGCCCGCAAGAAACTTAAAAAAACATCATATAAGGATATAACCGGTAGCCATTTATGGTCTAATATCTATATGTTTCTTTAATAAAAATTGCAAGTTTGAAATCAATTTGGCGCCTTGGTGGTTGTAGATGGCGTAACAGATCACCATATAGAAATATCCCCAAAACATCACATGGGACCAACTCGAAGGGCATAACTGGTAGCCACCCATTGGCTAACTTCTACTCTTTTTCTTTTTTTTTAAACTTTGCATGTTTGAAATCCATTTGTTATCTCAGTGACTGTAAGTGGGAATATTTTCGTTTCGTGATTTGTTGCACGAAATATAATCCCCAAAGGGCCAAATAAATTTTAAACTTGTTAAATTAAAAAAAAAACAAAACATTTAGATGTTTGCCCAGGGGTGGCTACGAGTTATACCTTTAGAGTTGGTCCCTTTCTGTGATATTTTTCTTAATTTCTCACTGGCCACTGCCCGGTGACTTCCAAGGCTTGGCGATTATTCTGCCACAGATCACGCTATAAAAATCTCTCCCTGTAGTTGGTGGGACAGATCAGGATATAGAAACATCCTTAATTGGCGATATAATATCCTTACCCTTAACATGTTCCATATTATTATTTTTTTTTTTTTAGAGTCTTAGTTTGGAAGTTTGCAAAACGTTTTGGGATTATTTTGGCTTAAATACCTAAACTTCTTGCCATTTAAATCATCACAGGTTAAACGTTCTGGTAACTACGGGTTCCACAACTCTGATACACTCTAGATACCTTTCCTTCCTTTTTGTCTGATCCTCCGGCTTACTTTAAAACACTATTTGATTTTGTTACTTTAAGTATGTAAAGATTTTTGTGTTTAGCGTTGTATAACTGTTTCGAGCTCTTTAACCGAAAAATTCTGCATCAAGTAACTGTTTATTTTTATAATTACATCCAATGAGCGCATTATGATGTATTTATGTTAAAATTCCAAGTGCTTTTGCATCTTGTGCAATGAAACTAATTCTGTTAAAGGAAATATTATCCCATTGAATGAATTAACCCAATTAAATAAAGCTAAGCATTCAATATAATTTTATAAAGTTATTTTTCAAATATATTAAATTGTTAATTTTAATGTATATTGACTGTCATAAGTTCAAATATTAGAATAATTCTCATTAGTTAAAAAATTAAATTTTCCCATGAAAATGCAAGTATCAGTTCTAACTTTTTAATAATGGTGGTAAGTACAGTGATCTAAATGTTTGGAAAAAAGGAAGAAAACTTTATCTTCATTATTATTCCTAATTTTTTATTATTCTCAAAGTTATGTTAACTTGCTAAAGATGTGTTTTGAATTCCAATATTAGAAAAAAAATATGTTATAAATTTTACGTACGTATAAAATTTTACTGCAAATTTTTTTTGCAAATATAACTGGTTTTTGTCCGTTCCACTTTTAACGATGTTTTTTTTAACAATATTTATTCATTTTTAATTTTAAAACATTTAAATTAATGTAAAATTTTTTTTCTTCATTATACATAGTTGATGTATTCATTAACAAAGATGTTATAATTTGCATATTTTTAGTAACTTTTGTGTATGTATGTTTTAATATGGAATAGAACAAGTTTTGTTACAAGGTCATAGGGGGAAGGGCCATTCTCGCAATCGGGAGCTTAATTAGAGTTTACCTAAATTATCTAAAATAAAAGTTATAATGCAGAAATATCCCTGAAAAAACTAAATCATAATTTCTCCTATATATCAATATTTTTTATGATTCTATCTAACTGTCACAAGACGTGTTTTTGTTTCTTTTTTATTTTCTCTGTACAAAAATAATTGCATGTTTTCCTATTATCAAAAATGTGTTTTGCTGAAATGAATGCTATGTACTTTTCCATTTTGCTGGCACAAGCAATAAAGTTGCCCATGTAAAGTCACTGGGTGCAAGCAAATTTAATTTTTTTTCATATTTTGGTGATATCTATTTTTTTTTTTTAAAAAAACACTAAATAAGTAAATAAAATAACTGAATATACTAGAGTCAATGAAACAGAAAAGTACCAAATGGTATACTAAAAATGAAGAACAGATCTAACATATGACACACTACACATAGACATATAAGTAACAGGAAATAGAATGGTTTGCATAATTAAACATAAGTAATTGCCACCTAGAATTTTTATCTATCTGATATACTGTTGTAGCACAACTGGTTTTGTGATTGATAACACAGATGAGTTATAAATTGTTAATTCTATTTCTAATTACTTATGGACTTGAAGTAAAATTTTAAATGAAACATTCCGAATTGTTTCAAATCAAGTGGGATTTGAAACACTTTTGATGAGAATAAAATGTCTAAGAGCTGTTATAATATTTTTTTCTTTTGACAGCTTCAATAAAGTAATTATCAGAAAGCTAATAAGCATTTTTTTTTTTTATTAAATCTAAGTTACGCTTGAGTTAACATTTTTGTGTAATTTAGCATTTAAAAATCTTTTTTTTCTTTCATATTGTTTTAACTGTGGATATCTTTTTATAGCTAGAACATCTAGTGTGCAAACATTTGACTCTTTAGATTTTACTAGATATTCTGATGATGGAGAAAGACAAGTTGATGAGCGTATTGCAGGTTTGTCATCCCGTTTTGTATTTAACTTAGTCATTTCTTTCATCAATTAGGAATTATTTTAATGTATTTTACTTATTAATGTCTAATTTTTATTTTGTATATGTGTTTCTTACTTTGTTTGAACTATTTCAATAACAAGGAATATAAAAAGTTTAAATTGTTTGTTATTTTGTTACATTTATTTTATAAAATGTTATGTTTGAATTTGTACTATATTAAGAATTGTTTATTAGATATGTCCTTAACGGACATAACATAAAACTCAAAACAAACTTAAGTCAATAATATTTTTCTCGTTGCGAACAGCTCAGTCATGTTAAACAGTTTTGCTTTGAAGAGCCCATTGTCTTATATTTTTGTATCATTCTTACTTTCTTGTGGTCTTCCCTCTTTCTTTCTGTGCAAACTTATTTTATGGATAATATTTTAACACTTTTTTTTTAACTTGAAATAATTATTATAAAATAAAAAATCTATGTATGTTTAATCATGTCTATTTATTTTTGTTTATTTTTAGTAATTAGTCAACTTACGCGACTTTAATTCTAGGAAAGAAAATATAAAATGTTTAATATTTTAGTCAAAAAGGTCTTTGCATCTTTTAAAAATCAAGAGAGAAAATAAATTTTAATCTACAGTAATCAAGCAATTTTGCTACTTATTTTAAAATACTGTTATATTATGTTTTATATATATATATATAAATATTTTTTATGTTTTACACTTGTATAATAAAAAGCAGTTTAAAATTTCCTAGGATTTTCGCCTGTCAAACTTTATACATAGTATAGGGACTAAAAATTATATCTGATTAATATAAAGAATAGATTCCTTTGAATATTTTTTAAAGGAGAGAAAAGAAATATTAATTCTTTTAAAGTTATAGGTTTATTTTGAAATTAACTATTGAGATAGAATATAATTTTAAGAAATGTATTTTCACAAGTCCTTACCTAAAATTTCATCACATGTGTCGACTATTATATGTACAACTAACACCTGCAAAATGTAATAATGTTACTTTAATGTAGTTTCATTTTTTGAAGTGTTTTGCTTTTTTTTTCTAATTTCATAAATTGATTAAATATTTATTACTCAATAAACGTTTGTTTCCATTGCTGTATTTTTTAAACAATTAATATTGAGATAATATCAAGCATTATTTAATAGTTTATGACTAAATGTGTAAATAATAATAATAAATAAAAGTATGGATAATTAAAAATACCTTTTGGTTGGTTCAAATTTATTTTCATAGTAAGATTCAATTCAATTGTCTTATATTTCTTTATTTCTCAGTTTTAGAATTTGAATTAAGGAAAGCAAAAGAAACTATCAAAGCACTTAGGACAAATTTGACAGTTGCAACTGGTAACTATAATTGTGTTTTATATATATGTGTTTTATATATATTTTTATAAACAACAACATAAGTACGATTTACAATTTTAAGATAATTTTTACTCTTCAGAAAAGTAAACTAATTTTGTGAATAATAGTGTGAACTAATTTTTTTTAGCTACACTTTTATGAATAAATTTTCTACCATTCTTTTAAATTAGGAGAAACATTTTAAAATTAAAGAAAGCAAGTGCATGTTTTCTGTTTTAATTCCAAACCTAAGTTGAGAAGTTCATAACAAATGAGGTCTTTCTTGCTATATGTAATGATTTAGAGAGAAAAAATATTATAAAATTAAAATTTGTAGCATTTGTGTAAAATTTTGTTAAAAAACCGCAGTTTTATAATTTGCTGAATAAGATGAGAAAAGTGTGAAAGATAAGGAGGAGTTAATGTGGTTTTATTCAATTTTGTAATTGTTTGAGCTAAATAATATCTTTTAATGTGCATTTTAGGAATTTGAGCAACATAATTTATGTGTTTTTATTTATTGAATTTTAAAGTTATGTTTTTAATTTTAAAGGCATCTTTTACTAATAAGACAGAATAACACAGGAAAATATATACTGTAAAAATTTGTTCACATGATGAGCTTCAAACTAGGAAAAATGTAACTCTTTGAAACATTTGCATTATGGAAAGTTTTACAAACATTTTATTCATATTGTTCTCAAGTTTTATCCAAAAGTTCTTAAGTACTTTTATTTATCCATCTTTACAATTGTTTTTAAATTCACACAAAAAAGAAATTTTTTTTAAATAACTTTAACAAGCAATTTGCAGTTTAAATCTTGTTATTATTTTCCTTTTGCAGAATCTGATCCAAACACTCCTACATCTTGTACGTCCAAGAGTATTGCACAAGATGTAGTCAAGCCTCATGAAAAACGAGCCTTAAATTTTCTTATCAATGAATACTTGTTGTACCACTTTTACAAGCTAACTTCTATCACATTTTCAGATGAAAATGATGATCAAGTAAGGCATATTTTGAATATACAAAAAGCACTGTTATAAAAAAGTACTTAAATGTCTTAATACCATTAAGAATATCAACCTATTTGTGTAAAGGTTTGTATCAAAAACCACTTTGTATAAAAAATTCCCTTTCATGGGGGTGCCCAACCTGTGACCCGCCGACTGTTGATATGCAGACCACAAGAGATTCTGAACACAATGAAAAAATAATAATATATTTTTTTTTATATATATACTATTATTTTTTGAAAAATAAAAAGTTGAGAATTTTGAATTCCCCATTTAAGTCAACGCTTTCTGATGCTCTCATTTTGCAGATTCAATTGTAAATCTATGTTGATTCTCAATAGCTTTAACAGTTATTGCTGCAAAATTCTGCATAGTTTTAAAAAACCCAGTATTTTTAACGTGATATTACAATGCATAAATTTCGAATTTGAGTAATCACTTTCTGACTCGTTTGATTTTTTAGTTTTCATCATCACCATGTACCCGCTACATTTATTATGACATTTGAATTCTAAATCGTGCATTTAATTTATCAATTTTTTATGTGTTTTAGTCACGCTGAATTAATCGTAAATTTAAACGATTTTTTTATTTCTTTTTTCTAAAGGCAATTATGCCACGCTTTTGAAAATCCTGTATTTTTACTAAATTATTATGACACAAGAGTTCAAAGTTCACATTCAAGTAATCACTTTTTGATGCTCTTTGTTTTTGCCAATTTTATCAAAAATAAGTTATTTTTCAATTATTTATTTGGCCGTTCTTGCAATGCATTCCCATGTGGTTTTAAAAATTACGATTTTTATTACAACATACGAATTTTCAATAGTGCATTTAAATAATTATATATTGACACACTTTATTCATGCTAATTTCATTGTGCATTTAAGCATTTTTTGTTGCAATTATTGTGATGTTTTTCCACATGATTTAGATGATCTTATTAATTTAACTAGGATGTTATTATGGTACGCATTTTTCTATTTGTTCATTTAATTAATGACTTTTTAATACAATTTATTTGTACATATTTCATTGTAGACATAGGTTATTTTTTGGCAGTTAGCACCATGCTTTTACATGTAATATTTAAAATTTCCTATATTTAATACAATGTTATAGCAACATGAAATTTTCAAAAGGTGGGGGGGGAACGCGAATTTTTAAACTGCTTACTGTTAGCAATTTTGTTAATATTTTGAAGCTTATGTGAGTTTTTAGGAAAAATTAAAAAGAAAATGTTTATTATTTAAAATTCATGAAACCTCTAATAACTTTAAAAAAAAATGGAAATAATATCTGAAGTATAATACTAAATGAATATTAAATTTTATTCTTAACTATAATTGGTTAAATTTGGATTTTGGTATAAACCCTATATATTTTCTTTGATTAAAATATTAATTCAAATTTATATTATTCATTAAAATATGTATGCAAATTTATATTATTCATAAAATTATTCATTCTATGAGCATTAAATTTTTTTTCGAAATTTATACCCCCCCCCCCCCCANCCCCCCCCCCCCCCAATATTTATATATTTTTTTGATAAATCAATTATTAATAAAAAGGGAAAATTTTTTTAAAAATATAGTATGTTTTTTTTTTTAATTTTTGAAATAATTAAAAATATTTAATTTTCTGCAAATATGTAACTTTGTTTACTAATAAAAAAATTTTGTGCTTGGAACATTAATGTTTACATAAAATTAATTTATTTGCTGCCAATTGACTAAATATGTGTGCCGCCTTTCGTTAGTCAATCTGTTGTACAAGTGGCCTTTCACTCAAAAATGTTGTGCACCCCTACCTTGGTTTGTGTTTCTCCATTGAACTGCATAGAGTACAATTGAATTTGTGATTTTTTATTTTTACAATTTGAAAATGTGATTTTTTATTATATTGCTCTAAGTCTTTTATATGTATTTACTTAATTTCCGATGAATCAGTTAATAATTGTTGGCTTGTATAGAGAATATATATACACCACAGTCTAACCGCTTCAGTTTTAGTTTTAGCTGTGTGTCAAAATATATTTATTAATTTAATTTATTTCAAGTTTTAATTTGAAAACTAAAACGATGTTTGTATCTAAGTGTTATTATTTTACTTCAATTTAAGAATGTTTAATTATTCCTTATATTATGTATTTTAGGATTTTGAAGACTGGGATGATGTTGGATTAAACATTCCTAAACCCCCTAATCTGCTTCAGATCTATCGAAACTACAATAAATTTTACTATTTAAATAATGAAGTTGCCCATAAGGAAGTACAAACAACTGATACTTCCAAAGATCCTCTGGAAGACTCAAATGTATGCTTCAAGGAAACATGCGTAAGGATTATTATTAATTTTTTTTATTGTAAATGATGAATCTTTGACTTATATAGTACTTATTCATAAAGTTAAGTGAATTAATTGCTATTCTAATTTTAATAAATTGGCAATTTTTTTGTGATGAAACACTTTGTGATGTGTACAGAATAAATGCAGAATTTAAAATACAGAATCTCTTGAAAAAAATGCTTCTAAGCACAAAGAATTCAGATCTACCTCTAAAATGTAAAAAGTGACCTTGAAAAAAGGTCTTGTATTCAGTAAAACAACGTGTTTTTAGTTCTGGAATATCACAGATTAGATAATAATTATAAGGCAACAAATTACAGTTTTCAAGTTAAATTTAATCTTTATTTTAATTTCCCTCTGTTAGAAATTTTTATAGCAAATTTTAAAAATTATAAAATTTTTAGAACTTGTGCTTTCAATATATATTCTTTATCTTTTTAATGGTTATTGTTTTAGTATTATTTTATTTTGAAATCGGATGTATTTTAGCTGGACTCCTTATATATAATTGTTTTTTCCATATTTTAGTCTGAAGAAAAGAAACAACTGCTGGAAGACATAACTAAGTTGATGCGTGAAAATAATGAATTGGAGAAGATAAATGAGGAAAAAAGAAATCTTGAAATACAACTAAAGAATTTGAAAAGGTAAACTTATCACAACTCTTCTAATGCTTAATATCAGCATTTAAGCTATTTTTCAAATCATGGACATTTCAGGGGCCCATTTTTTAAGGGGGAAGAAATTAAATTACACAGTTACAATAGTTCTCTAAATTTCACACATAAAAAGAAAAAGAAATCTTAATCTACTTTACACCTGCAAAAAAATGAATTATTTTATCTTTTTCTTGTTTTTAACTTTAAAGAATTTGATTTGATGTTAATCATAATACACAAAAGTTTTCTATTTTTATCTGAAATGGGGGAACTTTTACAGATTCCTCTTACTTTAGAAATTACAGGATTATCTACCATCGTTCATGGTAAAAAGCCTTTGATGTGATTAGATTTGTAAAGCTACTTGTCTATGTTTTTTAGCATCTTTAGTTTTTTCTTTTCCTTTTTTCAATTAAAATTTCTTTTGTTTACTATTTGATTATAAGTACTAAAATTCTTTCTTGAAGCATTAATTTTGTCTTCAACCATTTCAACAGTTAAAGATAAAATTCAGAGTCAAATTTGAGGAAATTTTGAAGCATTTCTGTATGGAATTAGTCCATTGATTGAAACTATCTTTCGCTCAACTAACACTACAAAAACTGTTTTAAAAAACGTGTTCGTAATTTCGTTTAGCAACAGAACCCTAAATGCTCAATTTTTTCTTGGTGGAACCCATACTATATAAATAAGGTTCATTAGCATTTTGAACATGCTCACGATTAAGACTACTAATAAATTTGAAAATATTTAATGCGTAGAATGTAAATTTTTTATCTTTCTATCAATAATAGTCTTAAATTTAAGTTTTATATTGGACAGTTAAATTCTCAGGCTTTCATATAATCTGTGAATAATATGAAATAAATACTAAGTTGAATTATAGTTTCATTGAAATAGAAATTAAAAACTGTTACAAACATTGAGAATTATTATCAGGGAAACATTTTTCTCTATTGTTGTCTTCAGCTATTATATTTTGAATTTTTATATTATATTTAAATAATTGTTATTATATTTTGAACTTATAAAACTGCATGGCGGCTTTTCTTTTCTTCTTTTTTAAAAAAAAATTTTTTTTTCAGCACTCCTTGATCTGTAGGCTGTTTTAAACTTGTGACGTTTGATGGCAAAAACATTGCACTGATGCCATCGCAATTTAGTTCATCCTCATTTGGATGAGAACCTGCAGTATCTATCATTAAGATAGGTAGATTTGCAAAGCAGATTTTTTTTCATCTAAGAATTTCAATAGATAGCTTTTCTTCACAGATCTCAAGCTTACTATACAATATCATTTTTTGCACCTGTCAAACCAGCCTACACTGGCAGTGAAGTTTTCATCACCCTCTCTTTAAATTCTTTTTGAAACTGCAAAGCTATTTCTTTTAAGAATCTGACTCGAAGGAAGCATATTTTTGCCTCCACTGTGTGAACCACATAAAAAAGGCCTCACCAGTCTTTTCATAATCAGATTTTTTTAATGATTTACTGTCCAAAGATAAATCAGAGCACTTGTCAGCAGAAGACATCTTTAAGTTACATATGTTCGGTCAATTTGCAAAAGTGACATTAACCACACAGTATTCAGCTGCAATTTTAAGGTTCTGTGTTCCCCTTTCTCCAGTCTTTTTAATATTTCCAATTTCACTTTCAATGGATCGAAATTCCTTTTACTTTTCATCATAAAATGCAGTTTTGCCAACGAACTAAAAATTCAGCAATTCTTTCAAGCAAGACTAAAAATTCCAATTGCTTGCACAAATGAAAGCTAAAGACTTCATTCCGCACTGATTTATTTTACGAATGTAGTGGAGACGGATAAATGTTTAGTGTCCGAGCCAATGAAAGGGAAAAGAAGTGAATAGAAAAAATGAGGCAGAAAGGAGTTAATAAGTTTATTTAACACCCCTTTTCACCTTGACCTTAAACAAGCCCTTTAACCGGCAAGAAGAATATGTACCAGTTTTCTTTAGGAGGGGGTTTTCTTGCGTTGGCTTTGGGGTTGCGAGATTGGCATATTACTAAAAGAACAACAATAAAAACTTACTGTAGTAATCGTTACACGTGTTGTGTGTGCATTGGTCATCATTTGGGAACAAGACTAATTTTTTACACTAGCTCGGATTTATAAGAAACTAAAACTATCGAGACTCGAACTATAAGAATGAAAAATAGGTCTTTTTTTTAATATTAATGTTTTGTTTTAAATGATTTTTTCCAGCTTCAAAAATTCTTAAAACTGATTTCTTATTAAAAAATAGATAGTTTAAAATAAATTTGTTCAATGAGTTTATTTTACTTTATAAATTAATTTTTTTACAGAGAAATTCAAGTACTAAAACTGAATCCAATCAGTGATTTCTCAGGAAAAAACAGTAATTCATCAGATGATAAGAAATCATTAGATTCCACGGATGCTCAAGAATATGTTTTTATAAATCAACAAGATGATACTCCTGTGATAGTGAATGACTCTCCTCCTTTTAAGTCCTCTTCTGATAATTTTAATGACACAAAAAATCATAAATTATCTGCCACAAGCTCTATTTCTAGTGAACCTGAGCTAAAATCTGAAAGGTAATTGTATATTTCGAACTCATTATGGTAAGTTTTGCATTGCAGTTTGAAATATGACATTTAATTATGAACCTTCTACAACAAAATCTTACATTATTAACTACTGTCCTAAATATCTGGAGCAAAAATAGGTAATAAAATTATGTTTTCTGATCAGTTTGAATTGAGATTTTGACCTGATTGATTGCCCTGTCTCAGAGAATGAGCTGCATTGCAGTTTTTAACATTAAAATTAAAAATCTGTATTTCAAATAAAGTTTATGACAATATAAAGTTAAAATAATAGTATTATAGTTTAATAAAATATGTTACTTCAATTATTTAATTATCAGTAGTCATGTTATCATCTTTTTATCCACTCTTAAAATTTTATAATGATTAAATATATGTGTTTAATATAACATATATACACACATATTCTATATACCAGTAGTCAGAATCTACAAAGTCAACCTGCTGCACTTTCTACAAAAATTCAAACTTGTCTGTGATTTCAACAAATTACAAAGAGATTATTATCGTAAAAATCTAGCATATATTTGGCACATATCTAACATATATGTAATAAAGTTATACACAAAAACCTTATATTTCAAATTTAATTTCAATATTTTGCAATTATTATTACATCTTTCAAAGTCAGATGAAGTCAAAATGAAAAGTAAAAAACAGACGTTACAAAAAAAATCAGAAAGAAAGGATGAACTTGCTGATTATATGATTAAAATGAAATCTTTTTGTTTAATAAGAAGAAATTATTGTAATTGTAACTTATCGTTCCCTAATTCGTACCTGTTTAATTTTTATTCAAATGAAATTCATTTCCTTACCTTTGCCGGTACTTTGTAGACAAAAAAAAAAACAATAAACTAGAAAAATTATCCTGGAACTTGTTTTGTGAATGAACGCATTTTGATATCATAATTAATAGAAGGTTTTATCCTTATTTTTCATAAATGAAGATAAAAAAAAATAATTTCTTTTTCGTTTTATCTTTAATTTTTACTAGTTTTGAGTTCTTTTTCTATCAATTTTTTAAACATTTTTTCAGCCTTAAATTTTTAACTTTTTAAAAAATATCAGAGGGGGAAGATAATCTGCATATGCTGTGACAATATCAATAATCCTGTGCTGGAAGATGTGTGTGTATATATAAATATATAAATAAAGTTGAAAGTTTATTTCATAATGTTATTAATGTTACTTTTTATAAAGATTTGTTTTATTCGTAAATTCCAGAAATTTATTAATTTAGAATTATTGATTAATTTTTAAGAGGACATATTAGGGAATATTTCTCTTAAATCTATTCAATTATAATCAAACCAAATTTAAAAAGCCTATTATTTGATAAATCCCATCAGCCTGCCTATTTGTCAAAATTTTTATCTATTTATTGTAAATTTCAATTGCTTATTTTAGTTTCACAATTATAAAGTCACTAATTCATAACCGCATTGTTTTTACCTGTATTTTTTTTATGCTTAGTTCCATAAAATTTAATTGTAATGTTGTATTTATTATCACATTTATATGAGTTCTAGACATTGCATGAAACGAATATTAATTAAGGCATTTGCATATTGAGTATTAAAATTTTCCTATTCATTCAGGTAGAAAACTTTTTTTATAGTTATTAATAATAGTAAAACTTATTATGAAAGAAGTGATACTATTTGATTATTTATTTTTGCAAAACAGCCAATTCTCTTTTTTTATGCCCTTGAAATTCAGCACTTATGAAGGACTTCTATTTTTAAACATTTATGTTTATTTCTAAATTTTAGAACTGTTCCTGAGGAATTTCAGAAAACACTTTTAGGATTTTGTTTATCTCAAAAAATTGCTCAAGACAATCGTCTCATAAGTGAGGTTACAGGTATTGGAAGTACTGAAGAAAGTGTTGTTACAGTATTATCTCGTTGTTTGCCACATGTTGTTCCAAATATATTATTGGCTAAAAGAGAGGTGAGTTTTTTTCTTATTGTAGAAGTTTTTATTTTATTCACAACTCTTATATCCCTTTCAATGATTATTTTCATTTCTCTGGAGTTGTAATATTAATGATGCGTAATAAATATAATCAATTTTTGATTAATCAAACTACAATAACTCAAATATTCCTCAACTCAATTTTTCGCTCCTGAGCGTTTTATTTTTAATTCCCTGTTAATTTTTCCCAATTACTCGACGTTTCTCCCTTTAAGTTGATTTGTTTTTCAAGCAAGATGTCTTACATTTCAAAGCTAAAAATATGCCAATTCCTTTAATGACCACCAACGAAGTGAAATGAAATTCCCTCACGCTTGACTTGAATAACATCTGCTGAGTATATAAATGAGAAGTGGATAATCTGTGTTCTTTTTTGAGCATTGTTGCAGTGCCTTGGTCACTTAATCAAAGGAATCGATTTTTCTAAACAACATCTGAAGTAGTACTTTCTCCTTCTCTTCAGCTGTCCATTTATTATTTGCAGCTTAAAATCGTTCACCATGAATCAAACATAAGTGAAAATTAAAAACTCTGAGCTTAGATGTTTATTAAGGATTTAGAAGGAAATCCAAACAGGAAAATGTGGAATTCCTCCTATTACTCTTTCAACGATTTTAAAAAATAAGGAAACCATCCAAAGACGTCATGAATTAGTGATATTTCCTTCAAAAAGAATGAAAAAGTGTGTCTTTCATGATTCATAAATGATTTCCATGGCATATGGATTTCGAATAGAGCAGTTCTCAGAATAGGAATTTGCTAGGAGATACAAAAAGGATTTTTAAAGTTTTTATGAAGATTGAGAATTTTAATGTGAACTCTGAATGATTAAAAAAGTATGTTATTCAGAAGATGTTACAATTATGAGAAACATAACTGCTTTATGTTGAGTTTTCAAATATTTTTATTAAACCAATTTAATTATAAATGTGCATGCTCAGAAATATCTAAATTAATGAATCATTTATATTAAAGCTTTTTTTTTTTAATAAATTGGTTTCTCGTTTATGTTGCTAATTTTCTTCTATTGAAAAAAAAATGGGTTTCACTACTTTTAAAACAAATATTTCAATCAGTGATTGGAAAAACTATAATTTTTTTTAATTAACAAGAACTACAACTTCTTTCCTGCAAATGTATTTAACTACAACTACTTTTTTTTTAATATTGTCAATGCAAACTACTTTCGAAATATGGTCACTACTTTTAGGAGGAATACATTGCTGGAGAACTTAATGTACACCCATGTTCAAAATCGTTTTGAATAATAAATCAGCTTAATTAAACATGAGGAATTATTAAAAAATATTTATTCATGTTTACTTAATTAGTTTGTTATTCTAAGCCATTTTTTATGAATTTGTCCTTTTAATCTTCAGCTTTTTTTTTCCTTTCTCTTAAGTATATTTAATTTAAGAAATTCTCCGAAATTTTTTTTTAAATTTAAGTAATAAAAATAAAACTTATCTGAAAAGAAAAACAAATGAACTTTTTCATATACTTGTTCAATGGAGTTTATATTATTTGTTTCTAAAAATTATAACAAACTCTTGCGTTATTAATAATTCACCACTTACTGAATCGCCGTTTCTTCTCATGCTTTATTTATATTCTTTTAGGAACTGATACCGTTAATACTCTGTGCCATCGCTCTCCATCCAGATACAAAAGAGCGTGATAAACTCTTAAATATTTTGTTTAATCTCATTAAGAGACCTGATGAAGAACAGAGGTATATATATTCAAATATTTCATTTATTATTTTGCTTTGCTGATATGTTTAAAACATTGGTTTATTATCTGTCTAAATTGAATTTTTTTAAAAAAAAAAAAAACTTTATGCTATTTTTGACGTTAGGTACCAACTTTAGTTTAGTGGAGTTACTAGTTATTTTGTAATTAATATTTAAAATCTCAATTGGCCCTACCCCTAAAACACTAGTTAGGTACCAACTTTAGTTTAGTGGAGTTACTAGTTATTTTGTAATTAATATTTAAAATCTCAATTGGCCCTACCCCTAAAACACAGCAATTTTTCTTATCTCTGTTGATGATATCAGAATTCAGGACCTCCATGGCTCCTATCACCTTCTCATACAGAGAAAGCAAGTGTTGCGCCAAGTTGAACATTGATAAAAATTCTAAAATTCCAAGCACTAAATACAAATATTGTATTGTATCACATTGCAATAGCTCAACGTTTTTACACACCAAATTAAATATTTTTCCATACAACAAAAGAAGAAAAAAGATATGATTGATACAAATCAAACATAGCGAAAACAAAAATCGCAAATTCTCTACAATTTTACTTTTATGAGATTGTTTTATTTTTGATAAGTTTCATTAGATGCATTATTTATTATGTTGAATTAAAATGTTTTTGAAATGCCTTTTAGACTCTCTTTTTTCATTCTTTGGAATGAAAGTATACTATATTCATAAATTATAATCGTTTTCAGGTTATGTTTTTTTAATGAATATTTTCTTTTCATTTATTGATTAATTTAATTTGTTTCTGCTTAACTTCTGCGACCAAAACATCTACATACTTGTTTTGCTCATAATTAATCAATAGTTTGATGAAGTTAAAAAATAATTTGTATTTTTATATAGTTAGCCGGAGGAAAAAAGTTAATAAAAACTAAAATAAGAAATGGGAAGGGCTTAGAATTATTTGCATGTCTTCTAAAAAAATTAAAGAGACTATTTTAGAAGTAAATATTTAGAAAAACTCTTGAATAATTCAACAAAAAATGATAGCTTTTACAAATATTTCTAATTTCAAATCCATTTCTATATATTATCCGTATCCATTTCCTTTATCTGAGGTAACATTAAGTAAAAATTTTCAAAATAGTTCATATTTTTGTGCATAGACCAATATATTATTAGTAAAAATAAACCAATGTTAATTTTGAAATAAGGTAATTTACTTCGATGATTTATTTTTTAAATTTTTATAAATATGAAGATTTTTCAATATTTTTTTAAATTCAGGAATATAGAAACAAAATTTTTGTAGATACTCTAAAAACGAATTTAATGCTTTTTTTTCTTCTTTTTTTCCTTTTTGGAAAACTTGCATTTCTCCTTAAATAATTATTCTTACGACACTTAATCTTTTAAACTTATGATAATCATTTTCCATTCCAATTTTTTTTATGTGGATTAAAAGATATTTATTTAGATATTGTTCTTCTAAACATATTACTGTAATGGAGAAAAAACTAATAGCATGAAATAGTTATTTGTTTCATAAATTGAAAAACTTGTTTAATCTGGTTTAAATATTTCAATTATTGCTCTTTCAATTCAGCATCAAAATAAAGTTTTGGAATACCAATTTCGAATAATTTTTTTTAAAAATATATTTCTCTCTTAATAATTTAGATTTATCATATTAAAGTGACCTAGTCAGTTAATAGTTGAAGTACTATTTAGAATAATTGTGTTTTAATGCATTGCACTTTAATTCTTTTTTAGACATATGATATTAAGTGGCTTGGTTACTATTGCACAACACTTAGGCCCATCAAGAGTTGAAGCCGAACTTTTACCACAGTGTTGGGAACAGGTAATACTAGTTTTGATTCTCATTTTGTTTTTATATCTAAAAATGATCCTTAATATTAATGAGTGAATTCTATAACCTGGAGCCATTGAGGCGCTCTTCAATCTGCTTCAGCCTTTAAGTTGTTAGCATTGGTGCAACTACTGAGTTCACATTTGTAAAATAATATAATTCTTTATTAGGTATTACTAATTAATTTTTCAATATTTAAAACTGTATCAATCCATTTTTCAATCATGTACTTAACTGAAAAACATAAACTATAAAAATTTTAAAAAGTAGAATCCTTCAAAAAAATTTTACTTTGATTTTTTTTTTTATTCTCCCTGTGGATTTACAGATTATGATCAAGGGAGAAAGTTCAACTCATCAATAAATAAAAAAATTTTAAATATCATTCGGCACCAAAAATGCTGTTGATCGAAATCAACACAATAGTCAAGATTAACCACAATCATGTAATTTTCCTGTTGAATTGAAACTTTATTGTATAAATTAATTTTTTTTTAATTCCCCTTACCACTTAGACTTATTAAACTTATCTAAATATGTTTCAAAAGTCTAACTGTGAACAAAATAAACAATTAGTTTCAAAACATTTACAATGTAACGACACATTGTTTTAATTATGCTTAACTGACATGTATGAAAGATAAATAGTTATAAAAGTACGTGTAGCAAACACAAAACTTGTTTTTGATGAAATGGAGCTGTAAGCTTGCAAACATCACTTGTGTTAATGTTTAAATAATTAAAACAACATACTTATCTTTTAACTATGCAATAATGGTAAAACTATGAAATAAAAATTTTTACACACTACTCCTAATTGGTCTATTGAAAAATTGGGAACAATTTTTAGAATTAAGGACTAAAATTGCCCCTTGAACCAGCTGTCTGAATTCCAGTACCCTAGTACAGACCATTCTAAAATTATAAGAGAGACAGACAAACTCTCTTATTATTGTAGATAATTTTCTAAAATACTATAATGTAACAAGTTAAGTGTTTATCAAATAATTATATTTGGGGACTTGACAATCAATGACACTGCGTATGGTTTCACAGGCCTATCTAAATTGCTGAAATCATATTCTCAATTTTCAATTACTATTTGATGTAAAAAAAAATAATTTCTGTAAAAAAATATAGTCAACTCAATGTTACATAATATTTTTTATTACTAAAAGAGTTTTTTTTAAAACATCTATATATATATTTCTCTTACACGGCACCAAAAAAAGCCTCATTACAACTCCCCGAATCGCAACGTTAGAAAATCGACCAATGATTGCTGCTAAAAATGTCACATGAGGTGGCTCAACATATAGCGCTTTTAAAAACGGAAACAATAACCAGAGTGAGCATTATCAGGTTGTTCAATTCAGATTCATGCTCTAAAAACATGATAATATTTAATTTAAACTCAATTAGGAATTAATTAGCCTGGCCTTCTCCATGACTATAAATAAGTCACAAGGTCAGACTTTTGAGAAAATCAGTTTAGTATTGACTAAACAAGTTTTTAGTCATGGACAACTTTATGTTGGCCTGTCAAGAGTTAAGTCATTTGACAGCCTTTCAGTAATTGCTCCAAGATGCCAAAT